AGGTGTTGGACATTTTTAGCTCTCAGGGCGGGATGTCACAGACAGCCATTTTCTCATTGTTGGGAATCCACTCAGCAAAGTAGCCGCTGTTCTTGTTTTGGACATTAACCTTCATGGACATGCAGCCCCTGAACACGGCAGCCACTGTCAGGTAGCGGCCATGACAGGGTTGCAGGCTGCCATCATGTTCTTGGCATCCACCATCTGCTGGGTGAGCTCAGGCACTGTCAGGGCCCCGGTATTGCTGGCTGCCCTACTGGTCAGCGGGACAAAAGTGGGCATGAAGACTTGCAGGCAGGGGAACGGGACCATGTTCACTGCCAGCTTCTGCATGGGAAGTGCAGGCAGGTGGTGACCCCACTCATGGTGGCAGACACCAGGTGGTTCAGGTCACCGCAGGTGGGCGTAGCAGCTTTAGGGTTCTGAAGCAGATGTCATAGAGAGCCTCGTTATCGACGCAGTAGGTCTCGTCTATGTTTCCTACAAGCTGGTGGATGGAGAGGGTGGCATTGTAAGGTTCCACCACCGTGTCTGACACGTTGGGTGAGGGCACCACACTGAACGTGTTCATGACCTGTCTGGGTACTCTTCCCAGATCTTGATGAGGAAACCCATCCCAGACCCAGTCCCCTCACCCAGGGGGACTTGGCCACTTTGCTGTTTTATTTTGTGGTTTTTAGTATACTTCTGGATTCAATATGCTGTTTTTTAATTTTATGTTCAGATACCTTTGTGTTAGCTACTACATACCTAACATGTTTTATTTATGTTTAGATTCATAGAAGGCTGGGTGAAGTGGCTCACACCTATAATCCCAACATTTTGGAAGGCCGAGGTGGGTGGTTCACCAGGTCAGGAGTTTGAGACCAGCCTGACCAACATCATGCAACTGCGTCTCTATTAAAAATACAAAAATTAGCCAGGGATGGTGGCACGCACATGTAATCCCAGCTACTCAGGAGGCTCAGACAGGAGAATCACTTGAACTGGGGAGGCAGAGGTTGCGGTGAGCTGAGATCATGCCACTGCACTCCAGCCTGGATGACAGAGAGAGACTCTATCTCAAAAATAAAATAAATAATTAAATTAAATTAAATTAAATTAATAGAGACGGGATCTCACTGTGTTGCTCAGGCTGGTCTCAAACTCCTGGGCTCAAGTGATTTTTTTCATCTTGGCCACTGAAAATGCGGGGATTACAGCGTGAGCCACTGCACCCAGCCCAAATATTTTCTTTTTTTTTCTTTTCTTTTTTCTGGAAATGGAGTCTTTCTCTTGTCACCCAGGCTGGACTTCAGTGGCGGGATCTCAGCTCACTGCCACCTATACCTCCTGGGTTCAAGCATTTCTCCTGCCTCAGCCTCCTGAGTAACTGGGATCACAGGCACGTGCCACCACACCCAGCTCATTTTTGTATTTGTAGTAGAGACGGGGTTTTACCATGTTGATTAGGCTGATCGCACACTCCTGACCTTGTGATCCGGCCGCCTTGGCCTCCCAAAGTGCTGGGATTACAGGCATAAGCCACCATGCCCAGCCATGATTCAGGATTTCTAACAAGTTTCCTAGTGATTCCAGTGCTGCTGGTCTTTAGACTATAATTTTGTAAGCAAGGATACTTAAAGTTAAAAAGTAATGTGGGCTTTTTTAAAATTTCTGTTTTTTAAGAGAGAGTCTTAATGTAGACCATACTTTTGTAAGCAGGATACTACTTAAAGCTAAAAAGGAATATGGTTTTTTTTTTTATTATTGTTGTTATTTCTGTTTTTTGAGACAGGGTCTTACTCTGTTACCCAACCAGAGTGTAGTGGTATGATCTTAGTTCGCTGCAACCTGCATCTCCTGGCTTCAAGTGATTCTCCAGCCTCAGCCTCCTGAGTAGCTGGGATAATGAACCACAAGCCCGGGCTATTTTTTGTGTTTTTAAGTAGAGATGGGAGTTTCACTATGTTGACCAGACTGGTCTCCAACTCTCTACCTCAAGTGCTGGGATTACAGGTGTGAGCCACCTCGCCCAGCCTCTCCTTCTTTTAAAGAAATTGATTGGACAATAACATGGTCCTTAGAAGGAATTCTCTCTTACATTTCATATTAATGTTTCTCCTCTCAAATTAGGCTGATAGCTTAAGTGCCCAGGCTACAAAATTTGTTTCATTCTCATGCACAAATAGCATACACACAGTGCCTCAGTATTTTTCCATGCCCTGACCTCAAATGCCATGTACGTACGCTTGAATATGTTGCCATGTGCCCCCCACAACCAGGGGGTGTACATTCTTTGTGATATTAGGAGTAATATCATCCTCTCACCTCGTGGATATTACAAACAATATCACAAGGTGGGTGTACAACCCCTGCGATATTGGAAGTAATAATATCCTCTTTCCCCCTAAATATTATGAACTACATTACAGTGGAGTTTACACCTCCTGCCATATTGGAAGTTGTATCATCCTTTCCCACACTGGATATGATGAAAAATGTCACAGGGGAGTGTACACCCCTTCCATATGCAGAGTAATATCATCCTGTCTTCTGCTGGATATTATGAACAATATCACAGGGGGTTGTAAAGACAGGGTGCTTGTGAAATTGGGAAAAATGCCCTCTCATCCCCTGCATATTACAAACAATTTCCCAGGAGGGTGTGCACCCTCTCAATGTGGCAAATAATACCATCCTCTTGCCCCATGAGTATTATGAACGGTATCGCAGAGGTGTGAACACGATATGGGAAGTAACATCATTTTTCCCTTCCTGGATATTATGAACAATATTGCAGGGGATGTACACCATATCACAGTATAGGTGTATATTCCCATATTGCAGGGGTGTACACCCCCTGTGATATGAAAAGTAACATCATCCTTCCCCCCCAAATATTATGAACGATATCACAGAGGGGTGTACACGTTCTGTGATATGAGGAGTAACATTAATCTCTCCCCCACCGGATATTAGGAACAATATCGCAGGAGGGCATACACCCCTGCAATGTGTGGAGTAACATCATCCTCTTTCCCCCTGGATATTATGAACAACATTGCAGGGGGCTGTCCACAGTCTGCGATATTCGGACTCACATCATCCTTTTCCCCACCGAATGTTACAAACAGTATCACAGGTTTGTCCACCCCTGCGATATGGGGGTAACATCATCCCCTCCCCCACTGAATGTTACAAACAGTATCACAGGTTTGTCCACGCCTGCGATATGGGAGTAACATCATCCTCTCCCCTCCTGGACATGATGAACAATATCACAGGACGGTGTACACCGCCCGTGATATGGGTAGTAATGTCATCCTCTTTTCCCCTGGATGTTGTGGACAGTATCACAGGGGTGTATACCCCCTGCAATATGGGAGTAATAGCCTCTCCCCGCCCCGCCCCGATGTTACAAACAATATTGCAGGGGGGTGTAAACCCACTGTAATATGAAAAGCAGTATTATCCTCTCCCACCCTGGATATTACGAACAATATCACAAGGGTGTGTACATACCCTGCGATATTGAGGAAAATGTCATTGTCTCTCTCCTTGGACATAAGGAACAATATCACAAGAAATTGTACACCCCTGTGATATTGGGAGGAACATCATCCTCTCCTTCCCTGGATATTATGAACAATATCACGGGGGTATGTACACCTTCTGTGATATTAGGAGGAACATTATCCTCTCCCCACCAAGGTAATGAACAGTATCACAGGGAGATGTATACCCAGTGCGATATTGGGAAAAATATCCTCTCCTCCACTTAATGTTAAGAACAATATCACAGAGAATGTGGACATTATCTGCAATATGAAGTGGGATATCATCCTCTTTCCCGGCCCCTGGATATTATGAACAATATCACAGAAGGGTGCACAGATTCTGTGATATTGGGAAGAATACTATCTTCTCCTCCCCGCCCCCCGATATTACGAACAATGTCACAAGGAGGTGTACACCCCTTGCCATATTGGGAGGAATATCCCCTCCCCCTCTAAAGATTACAAACAGTCTCACAGGGAAATGTGCACCCCCTGCAATATTGGGAGGAATATCATCCTCTCCTTCTTTGGATATTATGAACAATTTCACAGGGAAATGTGTATTCCTGAGATACTGAGAGGAATATCATCATCTCCCCTCCTGGATATTTGAAGAATATCACAGGTGAGTGTACACCTTCTGCAATATTGGGAGTAGTATCATCCTCTCCCCCTTGGATATTACAAAAATATCACAGAGGGTGTACACACAAAGTGCTTGATATTAGGAGCAATATCATAGGGGGTGTACACTCTGCAAGATTAACAGTCATGTTATCCTCTCCCTGCATGGATATTATGAACAATATCACAGGAGGGTGCACATTTCCTGAAATATTGGAAGGCATATTACCCTCTCCCCACCTGGATATTAAGAACAATATCACAAGGCATTGTACCCTCCCCCCCCCAACGATATTGGGAAAAATATTATCCTCTCCCCCCACTGGATATTACGAACAATATCACTGGGGGTGTACAACTCCTGCAATATTGGGAGGAATATCATCCTCTCCCTTCCTGGATATTATGAACAGGATCCAAGAAGGGTGTGTACTTCCTGCGATATTGGGAGGAATATCATCTCCTCCCCTCAATATTATGAATAATATCACTTGGGGATGTACACTCCCTGTGACATTGGGAGGAATATTATACTCTCCCTCCCTGAATACAACAAACAATATCACAGCGGGGTGTACATGCCCTGCGATATTGGGAGGAATAGCATCTTCTTCCCCACTGGATGTTATGAACATGATCACAGACCTTTGAGTTCTGTCATCAGGAGAAACTGGAATTGCTGGGTCCAAAGTGTTTGGGAAGTTTGGAGTGATTCTTGTTGCAGGGGGAAGAGGGAACTAAGGACCTGTCACTGAACTTTCAGGGGTGCCGGGATCCACCAGCCAGGTGCCTGCTCCAGCTCCCCGAGTGCGCCCCCCTCCCGCCCCTACCTGTTTTCACCCCTTGTGGCTCCACCTCCGCCGGGCAGCTGGACCTTGCCCGGGGCCTTCTGATCTCCGAGCTCCAATTTCAGCCGGAACTGCGCAGCCCGCCCCTTCCCTGGCAGGAGCACAGCGGAGAACTCTGTTCAGACACTGAGCTACAGACAGACGCTGGGACCCGGGACAACTGAGGCGCCGATGGCCGTGCCTGGCGAGCCCTGCGTGGGGCAGGAGGTGAGTGCCCCCTCACATCGCGCCCCACTCTCCTTTTCCAGGCTTGGTTTGGCTGCAGATCTCTCTGGCTGCGATACTGGGGAGAGGAGAGACCCCCAAATTCCTGGACCCGGAAGCGGGGAGACTTACTCCAGCCCCGTAACTGCACGGGTTGGACCCCTTTCACTAAGCCGGCCCCTGATACTCCAGCTCTGTTTAAGGGGCCACCAGACCGCCCAGCTTCTAGGGTCTTTGACCCTTATTTGCGTGAAGCTAGTGGGTCCCCCAAGCTCTCCTACCGCCAGAGAGTACTTACCTCTCTTGTTTCTTTTCCCATTGCTCTTAGCAAAGGATTCCAGGGAGTGGAGTTCATGGGGGGGTGGGGGTGGGGGTTGCAAGCTCCCAGCATTCTGAGGGCCAGGGAGGTGAAGCAATAGGCTGGTATGAATTGAGGGATCCTCTGTGCCTAGCCTTGTGCCCAACATGGTGCCACACTGCTGTGAACTTTGCCGCTGCTAATTTATTTATTTATTTATTTATTCTTTTTTTCTTGTTTGCTAATCCATTTAATACAACTCATAGAGGTAGAGTCTCCCTTTTGCAGGGAAGGAAACTGAGGCACAGAGGTTAAAGTTTGCACAGCCAGTGTGTTGTGAAACCAGGGAGAATAAAAAGACAGCGGAGAGAGAAGTGGAGAGGCCACGTCCACTAAACTTCAGATTTCCTCTAAGGTTAGATAGGACCAGCAGAACTGCTGAGATAAAAACAACAGATGAAGCTGAGCGCGGTGGCTCATTGCCTGTAATCCCAGCACCTAGGAGGCTGAGTCAGGAGGTTTGCTTGAGGCCCGGAGTTCCAGACCAGTGTGGGCAACGTAGTGAGACCTCTATCTCTACAAAACATTAAAAAAAAAAAATTAGCCAGGCCAGGTGAGGGGGCTTATGCCTGTAATCCCAGCACTCCGGGAGGCCAAGGTGGGAGGATTGATTGAGCCCAGGAGTTCGAAGCTTTAGTAAGCTTTGATGGTGCCACTGCAGCCTGGGCAACGGAGTGAGACTCTAAAACATAAATAATAATAAAAATAAATCACATCAGGATCACCAATCGGACAAGCTTTGGGATCACATAAGCCTGGGTCAGACTCAGTTCTGCTACTTCCCATTTGTGTGGCCCTGAGGGAGGCAGTTCCCCTCTTGGTGCCTCAGTCTGCTGGTCTCTGAAATGGGGACAGTATGGCCTATGTCCTAGAGTTGTTATAAGGATTAACTGACAGTCCATGCCTAGCAATAATTATGGAGCCCAGGTCTCCTAGGCCCCAGAGCCCAGCTCCCTGGGTTCAAATCCCAGCCCTTCCACTTCTCAGCTGGGTAAAGTCAGCCAGGCTACTCAACCTCTCTGGTCCTCGGCTTTTTTATCTGCAAATCAGTATGATAATTGCATCTACCTAGGGTTGATGTCAGGATGAAAGAAGTTGAGAATTATTAGGTATTCCAAAGAGTGCTTGGTACATTTCTGTGTAAATGTTAGAGATCCAAAAAGTCGCCAGGCCCCCTGGGCAGGTGGGCTGGGGACCCCTGCCGTCTATATTCCTGAGAGTCCTCGTGGTGTTCCCTCAGGTCTGGAACCAGACAGAGCCTGAACCTGCTGCCACCAGTCTGCTGAGCCTGTGCTTCCTGAGAACAGCAGGAGTGTGGGTGCCACCCATGTACCTCTGGGTCCTCAGCCCCATCTACCTCCTCTTCATTCACCGCCATGGCCGGGGCTACCTCCGGATGTCCCCACTCTTCAAAGCCAAGATGGTACCTGCCATCCCTGGGAGCCTGGAACCAGGCAATGGTGGGGGAAGCAGGGGACAGGCTGGAACCTGGTGGAGTCCTAAAGTAGACTCCTATCAGGATGTAGGAGGGACTCTTGTTAATCAAACAGAGCAATATTAGACAGGCGTCAGAGGTCAACTCAGTGGGACACAGTTTTCCCAAACAGATTTTGTAATTCCAAAAATCCATGCTTGCACAAACACACACACACATTCCCATGTTCCCAGACAGTTGATAACTACCATAACCTGGCATTTTCCAAAATGTACCATGTAGACTCTCGGATCCGCAAGGGAATTTTCGGACCACATTAGGATGAGCCTTTTAAAAGTCATGCATTGATTTTTCTCTTTCCCCACTGGCTGTGTTATAGAATAATTTCATAAGTGACAGTATTTACTTGAGTGTGCTGCGTAAGCACTGGCATTCCTGTGAGCCTTTCTGCTCATCCATCCTCTTCTCCTCCATTCTTATAGGCTCTAAAGAATGTTCTTCAGAGTTCATTCCTTCTTCTGCCATTGTGTTAATGTTTGCATCATCACCCACCACCAACCCAGGGGTTGGCAAACTTAAGGAGCCGAGCATCGCATAGTACTTGAGGCTCTGTCAGCCAGGCAGGCTTCCTTCCAAACACTCAGCTCTGCCACTGCAGCATGAGCCCAGTAGTCACAACCATAGACAACAGTCATAACTGTTTCTTTCTTACTTTTTTTTTTTTTTGAGATGGAGTTTCACTCTTGTCACCCAGACTGGAATACAATGGTGTGATCTTGGCTCACTGCAACCTCTACCTCATGGGTTTAAGTGATTCTCCTGCCCAGCCCCGCTACGAGCAGCTGGAACTACAGGAGGTCACCACCACCCCCAGCTAATGTTTGTATTTTTTGTACAGATGGGGTTTTACCATGTTTGTCGGGCTGGTCTCAAGTTCCCAATCTCAAGTGATCCACCCGCCTCGGCCTCTCAAAGAGCTGGGATTCCAAGTGAGCCACCATGCCCGGGGAGGGGATGTTTTTTAATGTACCACTTTTTAAGTATTCCATTAAGGACGATTCAGTTGAGCTGTTTGACTTGGACATCTTTGCACCTTCTCATCTTGCTCCTTGTCATCTAGTCACCTATTCTGTTATCTCCCAAGGAGGGACATCGTGGGTGCCATGAAACGTTCATGCATCATGATGTTTCTTCATTTCTCATTTCTTCATGTTTTTTTTTTTTTTTCATTTCTTCTAGCTCCAAGCTGGGCCAGCTCATTTTCCTATGAAATCTAGCAGAAACTGTGGGATAGACGTGGTGGCTCATCTTTTTAGATTACCCATTGCTTCTATCAAAATCCCAGTACATGTTTTGTTTCTATTTTATTTGCAGAAATCAGAAAAAACGAATTCTACAAAGAACTTGAAAGATGTTCTTTCAGGCTGGGCGTGGTGGCTTTTTCAGGTCACCTCTTCTGCAAGAAAGGCTCTTGGCAACTGGGTAAGTTTTGTTTGTTTGTTTTCCTTGCTTTTGGGCATAGTCTAACAGATGAGGACTTGGATGTATTTTTCTCCCCACAGCTCTGTGCTTAAGCCTTGGCAGAGAGGAAGGCTGCCTACAAGCAGCACAGGTAGGTCATTGTGTTGGATTATTTTTTCTTTTTGAGCCAGAGTCTCACTCTGTCGCTCAGGCTGGAGTGCAGTGTTGCAATCTCAGCTCACTGCAACCTCCACCTCCTGGGTTTAAGCAATTCTCTGCCTCAGGCTTCTGAGTAGCTAGGATTACAAGCATGTGCTGCTATGTCTGACTAATTATGTATTTTTAGTAGAGACAGAGTTTCTCCACGTTGGTCAGGCTGGTCTCGAACTCCCGACCTTAGGTGATCTGCCCACCTCAGCCTCCCAAAGTGCTGGAATTGCAGGCATGAGCCACCGTGCTCTGTTGTGATGATGGTCTTTTGTGTGTGTGTGTGGTTGTAGGAAGCACCCTACAGCCTAGAATACTTTAGTAAGATATTATTGTTTATGCAGTTAAAGAGACACTGATTGAGCTACAGGTTTCCTGTACCCTGTCTCAGGTCACTCTGTGCAGGGCTTCCCCAGGCTGTTGGGAGCTGGAAGACTGCTAGGTAGGGGCAGGCCCCAGAGTGGGAAGCATCGTACCTCCCAGGAGCCTCAGAGTAGGTAGCGGGCTTCAAGACGGCCCTCAGGGTGAGCAGAGCGGTCAGGAGTGTAGGCTTAAGCCAGGGTCTAGGGGCTACATTCCCTGAGATTAATCAGGCCTAGCTCTCTCTGGAGTTTCCAGAACAAAGACTAGGTGTGGGGAGCAGCACTGTGGAGAGGGCAGGAGGCATGTCTCTAGGCATTGCTGGAACTGGGGGAAGATTGTCAGAATGGTTGGGGTAATGTTTGTGTAATCTGTGGCAACTGGGCCTTCCTGCATGAAAGTGGGATGTTGAGTATCCTTTATGGAAGAATCAGGCACCAAGGTTAGGCTGGAGTAGCCAGCTCCAGTGGCTCTACTGGGGTGACCAAAGTAGGCAAGGAAAGCCACATGTTGCCCACACCCCAGTTTCATCAACTGTGTTCATGCAGGATGAGGCAGTGAGCTGCCCAACAGGGATGGGATCATTTCTCAGGCCTAGATATTGATGTTATCTTAATTCTTTAGTCTGGAAAAACGTGGTTGGGGATGGGGGATGGTAAGCATTTCCTTAACCAAACCCACTCTTCGAGTCTCCTAGTGGTATCCCTTCATTGACCGATCTCCAGAGAATAACCTGGCTGCTCTCGCTTCTCCAGCTTTTCCCAAAAGGCGCTTGTTACATGGCTGCTGAGGGGAGGGGGAGGGGCGCCTGGAAGGGGGGTCTGGTGGTGGCACCCAATCTACAGGGTCCAGAGTTAGGGTGGAAGTAGTCAGGGACTAGCAGCTGCCATAGTACAGGCGCATGGCCAGGCCAATGAGCAATGTGACCAGGAAGAAGGCGGCTGTGAGCTGCAGCCGCAGCAGGACTGCTGAGAGCACGGTGTTGACCACCAGTGAGCAGGCCACCACAAAGAGGCGCGTGATGCTGCTGCCGTGCTTCATGACAGCGGACATGAGCAGTCCATTTAGCGCCTGGCTCAGCACCACGAGTGCTGCCCATCCTGAGAAACCTCCCAGGAGGCCTGGGCCTGGGCTGCTGCCAGCGTGCAGACCTAGATTCAGGAGCACACCAAAAGTGTAGAGTAGGAGGTTCTGAAGTGCCAGGGGCAGCTGCTGTCGCTTCATGAGCAGCTCTGTGTACACTGAAGACAAGCCCAGGATGAGGCAGTGCAGGATGAGAAGCAGCAGGCCCAGTGGAGTGACACGCAGGGGCATGGGGCTGGCAGCAGCTGCTGGAGGGGGACTGGGAACGGTCTTCCAGGAACTTGAAGGCCCCCTGCTGCATAGCAGGCTCCTGGAGCCATGATGGTCATTTTTAAGGATGTTTTTGTTTTAACATGAAGCTTTGAGTGTCTAGTAAGGAATGTGGTGTTTTAATTCTTCTGCAAGTCAGTTCTTTGTCTTCTAGATGGGAAATGGGGAAAAAGAAGAGAGTGCCAGGGAGACACATGAGTGAGGAGCCAGCCCAGAAACGCCTGTGCCTGAACAACGCCTTCTGGCGAGGTAGGAGCTCCCGTGAAGGCAGCCGCTTAGTTTCTGCTGCACAGTCCACACACCCTGCTTCTCCTTTTGGGGGTGAGGGCTCAGGTGGGGTAATTGTCATGTTTCCTGGAAACAGTTCCAAGCACTTATGAAGAGAACCGTTGTCCCGCTGGGGGGCAGGACCCCATTTTTCTCAGGTGCCCTAGCTGAATGGCTCTTGGCTGTCCCCTGTGATTGGTGGAGCTCAGGCCCCTCCACTGACTGTGGACATTGCCACCCCGACGTCGTGGTTACTTTTAACTGCAAAGATGAGCCTACAAGGCAAATGGGCCAGCTCCCCTTCCCACCTTGAGTCAGTGGTGGTACCTCCACTGCCTTCTCCAGCTGATGATCTGAAACCACAGACATGTCCACCCACCGAGTGTCCTCTGAGATCTTATACATATCTCTATTAGAATATCACGTGGAACCTCCTTTACCTCTTTCAGCTGTTCGGTTTGTGGAACCTGCACCACCTACTTTAGCTGCATCTCCTGGGTTACTTTATCAACCTCATCCAGCTCTCTGTCCTAAGGTACCTGAACCACCTCATCCTGCTGTTTGTCCTGGGGGACCCCATACAACTTAATCAGGTGTCTGTCCTATGGAACCCCATCCCACTCATCCAGCTCTGTCCTGAGGTACCTCAATAACCTCATCGTGCTGTCTGTCCATTTGGACCCCATACAATTTATTCACGTGTCTCTCCTTTGGAACCCCATCCAGCTCATCCAGCTGTCTGTTGTGGGGGACTTCAAAAACCTCATCCTGATGGCTGTCCAAGGGGACCCCATACAACATATTCAGTTGTCTGTCTTGTGGAACCACATCCATCTCGTTCAGGGTGTCTGTCCTTGGGGACTTCAACAACCTCATCCTGCTCTCTGTCCAGGGGGACCACATACAACTTTTTCAGGTGTCTGTCCTGTGGAACCCCATCCACCGCGTTCAAGTGTCTGTCCTGGAGGTCTTCAACTACCTCATCGTGCTGTCTGTCCACGGAGATCCTATATAAGCTTTCCAGGTGTCGGTCCTGTGTAACCCAATCTATCTTGTTCACGTGTCTGTCCTGGGGGACTTCAACCTCCTCATCCTGCCATCTGTCTAGGGGGACCCCATATAACTTATTCAGGTGTCTGTCCTGTGGAACCCCATCCACCTTGTTCAGGTGTCTGTCCTGGGGGACTTCAACCACCTCATCCTGCTGTTGGTCCAGGTTGACCACATACAACTTATTCAGGTGTCTGTCATGTGGAACCCCTTTCATCTAGTTCAACTATCTGTCCTGGGGGGCTGCAACTGACTCAACCTGCCCCCTGTCCAGGGGGACCTCATACAACTTATTCAGGTGTTTGTTCTTGGAACCCCATCCACCTTATTCAGGTGTCTGTCCTGGGGGACTTCAACCACCTCATCCTGCCATTTGTCCAGGGTGACCCCATACAACTTATTCATATGTCTGTCTTGAGGAACATCATCCAAGTCGTTCAGGTGTCTGTTCTGGGGGACTTCAACCACCTCATCCTGCTGTCTGTCCTTGGGGACCACATACAACTTATTCAGTTGTCTGTCCTGTGGAACCCCATCCACATCATTCAGGTGTCTGTCCTGGGGGACTTCAGACACCGCAACCTGCCATCTGTCCTGTGGAACCCCATCCAGCTCATCCTGCTGTCTGTCCAGGGGGACCTCATACAATTCATTCAGGTGTCTGTCCTGTGGAACCCCATCCACTTCATTCAGGGGTCTTCAACCTCATCCTGGTGTGTGTCCAGGGGGACCCCATAC